ATTTAAGCAAACCTTTGATTGTGTAAATCATAAGATCTTGTTAAATAAGTTGCAAGCATATAATTTTGATGAAATTTCCATTAAACTCATGCAATCATATCTCGAAGAACGTTCTCAAACTGTTAGATATAACGGTTTATTCTCAAAAGAAATATGTGTACAGTCTGGTGTTCCACAAGGTTCCATTTTAGGGCCTGTGCTTTTCTTAATTTATATAAATGACTTGCCTTCTACAGTTAATGGTCATTTCATATTATATGCCGATGACACTACAATACTAAGCTCTGGTTCTGGTCTAGAAATCACAAATATAAGAAGTATAGATCTTCAAGGGCAGTCCAAGTCTTGGTTCCACTTGAACAAGTTGTCTCTAAATGAAGACAAAACAGAAGTTTTAACTTTTACGATGAAAAGGGAGTAGGGACACTGATGTAATTAACCAAAAACCGGTGAAATTTCTAGGCGTCTATCTGGACTCCACACTTTCATGGTCACGCCATATTGACGAGCTCTCCTCAAAACTGAACAGAACTGTGTTCTTACTCCGTAATTTAACAAACCATGTTTTTCCGGAAGTTACGCCTACGCGCACTGCGTACTTCGGATTATTCCATGCCATAATGAATTATGGTATTTTAATATGGGGTCACTGCTCCTCTGTATCTAGAATCTTTAAAATACAAAGAAGAGTGGTTAGAATATTGGCTAACCTAGACTATCAATCTGATTGCAGGCAAGCCTTCACAGATTTGGAAATATTAACCTTACCCTCACTTTACATATATTTAAATGCCACTCGGACTTTCACAATTATGATACGCGAAATATGCATAATTACGTCCCTACTTATTTACGTCTTAAAAAAAGTCAGTACGGCCCTAATTTTTTAGCCATAAAATTTTTTAATATGTTGCCCACCGCTCTCAAACATTGCAATGAAATGGTTTTAAATCTAAAATTAAATCATATCTAATAAAAAAGGCTTTCTATTCACTAGAAGAATTTTTGACGAATAAATGTTGTGATATAATGGAATAGTTTGTATAATTATTTGTTTGTTTGTAATTTATTATATTCGTTTGTCTCTTACATTGCATACTTAAAATGACTTGTGTAAACACCATGTGTAAAACATCAATAAATATTATTATTATTATTATTATTATTATAAATAGACAGTACATAGTACAGAAAAACGTTTTGGTGTTTAGAACCAAAAATGATATACTTACTATAAAAATAAGAATGGAAAAAAGTCGAAAAAATCATATAAAACACTTGCATCATATTTAGAGCGTTCCTCCCTCCCCCGCTCTTCCCCTGAGATAAAGAGAACATAATTTTGCCTCAATTAATGGCCGTTTTGCACCGACAAAGTTAAGCGGGGCTTAGCTTAAGCGTAGCTTAAAATCCATGGTAAGGATTATTGAGACAATGGTTGTCATGGATTTTAAGCTACGCTTAAGCTAAGCCCCGCTTAACTTTGTCGGTGCAAACCGCCATTAGTCATTGAATAAAAATTTTTATTCAGCGGTGAAGTGATGTATGATGTTGAGATTGGTTTATGAAATAATTGATCAAGTAAATTAATTAGATTTGCTAAAAAAATCAAGAGAAGTCGAAATTTGTTAATTTTAGTTCAAGTAAGCGATTTTCCAGCATGAACTTCAAAGAAGAGCCATCAGCTCCTATTTTGTTTGAGAGTATTTCGCATTGAGGCTCACCATGATGAAGTCTTTGGGAAGTGAAGTGATTTAAAACATTAACACCGGCCACTTGCTTGGCAATCAGCTTAAGAAATTATTAGACAAACCTACTAAGAATCTTGATAAAGAACTCTACGGAAGCGAATTATCCGGGTGCGAATTATCCAGGCGCGAATTGTCCGCACACCTCACACTTCGCGTGGACTTACAAAATAAAGTTAGAGTATACCATTTAAAATTCTTCCGGTAAAAGCGAAAGTCTCAGTTTGTCGTTGGACCTCATGTCCGTTCCCTCTGTATAACTGGAAGCAATTAAATTTGCCATAATTTATGTAATTTAAGTGGGAACTTACATCCTCTCTGTCTAGATGAACTGTGAACAACAAAATCCAGTTACATTACAAGCATTCCTGAAAATTTTATATTTTGTGATTAGTGAAAAAATTTTTTGAAAATTACAGTTTGGAAGGGTCAGACGTGCCCACGTTTAAATTTATTAACGATCCTCGAGATAGTTTATAATTTTGTATTGCTGTCTGTCTGTCCGTCTGTTCGTGTGCACGATAACTTTGTGTAGACTAACGCGTCAAAAAGTTACAGCCCAAAAACTGTCCAAACCTCAAAAAAAAGGGGGCTCTTTTATAATTCTTGTTACAAAGAACATATGAATGTCCGGTTTTCTGTGTTAGTAAATATTTATTAAACTTCAAGCAACTATGTAAATAAAAAAATTCGCGCATGCGCAACCAACTTTTCTGTTTGCGCAATGCCATTTTTTTTATATGTTAAGATATTTAAATGAAATTTTGTATGTAGGCACTTCGAATAAAAGTAAAACTAATGGCGATTCAAAAATTTGTTGGAAATACGCTGATCTGGTGAGACAGAATCAATCCCTTAAGGAGTGTTGTAAAAATGAAGTATCTATGTGCGAAGATCTCGAAGATCGTTCGATATACAGTTGTATCGGATTTTTTAAACAGATTTTTACACTGATATTTCATCACCAGATTAACCTCAAATAGTGAGGTTGAACATTCACGTATAGTAGGGTTGCCAACCGTCTTGTTTTCATAGGACATCTTCTGGTTTTTTGGGTGTCCTGAGGTATCCTGGGTAGTTTTTAAGTAGCGTCCTGGAGATTTTAAAGCGTCCTGTTGAGGTCCTGTGTTTTATAATTCGTTTTTATACGTTTTCGAACATTTTAAAACAAATTATGAATTTTTTGTCGACACACTACTTCCCATATTGGCGTGTCCTGCTTTTAAAATGAAATGTTCTGGTATTTCTACCTTAAAATCCTGGATTTCAAAATTTCGTGATTGCAATCCTAACCTATAGGTACACGGGGTTACGGATAGATCAAACATTCCCATAATGAGTGTGTTTGTTACACGCAATAAGTAGGTACAGGTATGCAAAAATATCTAAAGAGGAAAATTTCCCCCAAAAAATTCACTTCTTCTTAAGAAAGTTTACTGTTTGTGAGTGCAAAGGACTCCGCAACACTAAGCAGTGTGGGTGTAAGAAAGAGACCTGGGTCCCTTGCTCAAAGTTGTGCAAATGTTCCCCTCAAACATAGCACACATTTCCACCTAATTTTTCGATTTTTGGAGAATGTTTGTTAAAATATAGCCTTTTAATTTTTAAGTGCTTAATCGTACTCTACGCCCCCGAAAACATGGGAATAGACACTTGGATCGCGAACGTATGGCCAAAAGCACAAAAACTCTTAAATTTGGCGCTATTTTGGACGGCATCTCGAATAACGCACTTCCGGTTGCAATTTCGAGTTGTCAAACGGCATTTTCGGATTCCGCGGGGTCGAATTAGGTGGTAATGGTTTCAACTTAATTGTTACATGAAATGCTTCTTGATGCATTTGGAATTTCGCAAAACAAGACCTGACTACCTGTGAGGCCAAGGAAATCTCACACAGCTTGCAGATAATAATATGGTGTTTTCTTGGACAGCATTAGCGGGAAAGGTTTTTACCTGGGCTGAGACAATCTTTAATGGTTACAATTATGGCCAGAAGCGTTGGAGATTTCTGCCAACTTGAATAATCGAGTTTAGTAAGGTGCAGTGTGACAGTATTAAGTGATTACCATAATGTTAACACGATGTAGACTTTGGAACTGAAGGAGACCAAAGATAGGAGAGGACCTAATTCAAGGTCATCTAAAACAAATTTACGCTGGTGATAGAACAGAATCCTCACTTGGTGAAACAACCCGAGCCAAAGGTTAAACAGCATTAAAAATGGTAATGTTTGTTGCAATTATAAGTACTGTTTGCTGAAAGGCTACCATTATATCAGTGTGATAAACAGATACGTCATAATCATTTATAGCCTTAGAGGCATACAACTATGCGCCCCTCTACAAAAATACTACTATTAAACGAACGTTCTTGAAGATAAGTAAAATAATAAGGTTGGAAGTTAATAACACAACAACTTTTATCGTAGATATCGTTTCAAGAGTTCATAAATCAGTATGTAATAAACAAGATTCCACACAATACGTATAACCGCATGTAGGTACTACTATTCATTTTTACACGTCAAGAACACGTTTGAGGGAATCGTGAAATTCAATAACCCGAGGAAGTGAGGGTGCGTGAACTTAAAATATAGAAAATAGGTAATCAAATATTCCAGTGTTGAAAGAAGTCGTTTAGAGTGCAGTTATATAGGAAACAATGGCAGATTTTGAAATGCATCCGAGTGCTGTGACTTTCGTTGATGATCGCGTAAGTATTCAATCAATAGAAAGCCGTTTTTGTACGGTTTCCGTGTCCCTTTTGTAATACACTCAAGAAACGCAATCCATCACTGTTTCAAAATTGTCTGGTTGAGAAAACATTCCATAATTTTATTTAATTAGCGATAAAGTATGTGCGATAACCGCATTAGGTAATTCAAAACTTGTCAAAAGTTCGATGAGTGAAGAGTCAATTTGTTTATTATTAGTGCCGTGTTTCCAAGTCCATTATGTACACCATGGTGTAATACGAGTGTAAGTCATTTTTCGCTTTAGGTGCCTCTGTGATTTATCAAGTGGCTTTTGGCTATTTTTTTCCTTTGTGGCACTCCAGTTGGATAACTATCAACTCCGGTTAGAGATACGCCGTTGAATGCACTAACATAGGTATAACTTATGCGACCCGAAAGCTTTTAGAGCATTTAGGTACAAATACATTTTTCAGATCGTCACCAATTACTACGTCATCCTGGAACTTTATTTCTGAAATTAGAACAAATATTAAATGTGACGTTTACCGTTAATAAGATTAAATATTTCCTTGAAATGAAATTCAGTAAAACTGAGGTGCTTCCCGTTCTTGTGTAAATAATTCGGGGTCTCCTTTTCGTACCAATGAATCTGAGGTTTTTTTTGTATTAATTGGTGAAATATTTATGGAATATAGGATGAAGTGATGAGTAAACAATGAAGCAGTACTCTTAATATTTATATTTGTGCAATAAGGTGTCGTTTAAATGAACTGTGAATATACTTCAAATGGAAAGGATTGTTATTCATGAGTGTCTTATACACGTACAAAGTGAATCTAGTTGTAACGATGGCAATTATACGAAACTGCAATCGTTTATCAGTTACACCTTTCATATTAATAGCTTAAGTGGATATAAACATACAAAGGTATGACCTATTAAGTGTACTTATTCGTTACTTTGTCTTCTAAAGAGTTTATTCAGAAACGTTCCTTACAAATTCTATAGTTACCACAAATTTTGTAGTGTCAGATTACATACCTAAATGTTCTTCATTTGGAATCTGGTAAATGTACCTATATTCTTCAAAATACATTTGCAAAATTTCAAGTTATAATTCGAAATTAAGGTTAAGATCGAGCTACAACACAAAATTGAGGCTAGCTTTGAGTTATATCCAGTTGTAGATTCATTTCTAGTTATAACGTATAACTTGAAATAAGTAAAATATTTGTTCTATGTCCACTTTCGTACTATAGGTACTGAAAATGATATAATTAAAAAGAAATAAAGCATAATTTAAGCAGAAAATGTATTGCCAAATAATGTTGGTTGCATTAAAGCTTCACTTGTAGTTCCATTACACATAAAACGTCAATTCTTCTTTATAAAAAGAAGCACACTTTTGTCGGCACAAATCTCGGAACTAAGTGGATTGGTTAGTGCTACTTTTGTGCCGGTTTATGCCGTAAAAAGTTTGCCAGCAAAACATACCGTTTGGAAATTATTTCGACTTTTAAAGGTTCTGCTAATAGGCCAATCAGGTTTTTTATCTGGAAATATCTCGGGAAATACTGAAATTTTATAGTTTTGGGTAGTACGTAGGTACGTAGAACTAAAATTCATAAAATGGACAATTCGAAACTTGCCATTTTCTATATGAAAGTTGTTTAACATTTTATTTCCCATAATAAGGCAGTATTCCATTGTTTTTATGTTTAATCAGAAACGTACACGTTCATTTGTTTTATTTTCATGTAGGATATCTGGATTATTGTTATTGGTCTAATTAAGATAAATTTGTTTGAAAAATTTTCTTGTTTAAGGGTACTAACATGTTACATCATTGAAAATCAACTGAGCCTATGACAATGTGCATTGGTATTTAAAACAATTCAATTGTTTTTCGTTATTCATTTGTTTTCTGAAATAAAAACAATGGAATACTCAAATTAGCGTAATGAAAAGGTGCACTGCCATTTAAAAAAAATTAATTGTTTTTCGTTACTCATTTGTTTAAATAAAAAGAACTGAATGCTGCCTTATTATGGGAAATAAAATGTTTTAACAACTTTCATATAGAAAATTTTTGTATACATTCGATATTTACCGAGATATATACTATATTCTATACATAATGGGCACCCTGTATATAACGTACCTATTACCGATGTTAAATGACAGAAACCTTATACAAGCGCGAGATAGATATTTATATAATCTAATGTAGTAAATAAAAGCTGATTGAGTCATATTATGCGAGACCGATACGTATAAATACAAGTGTAAATAATGGGAAGAGAGCATTCGTTAAACGGCATCACGGAGTGCAAAATCTGTACGTTTATTGTTATATACAGTGTTATTTATTGAGAAGTAGACATAGGGATTTACTTATATATAATTTTTCCTATGTCTACTTTAAAACGATAAAATCTCTTCTAAAAAACGCCTAATTTTATGCAGATACAATAAAATAAGATCTGGCTGTCATATTAATTAATTTGAATATTGTCGTTTTGGCTTCCGTATTGTTATTCTCGTACGTGTGTGATGTATTCAACTAAAGAAAAAGTTGATTTTGTCAGTTGGTATAGTACCGGTAACAGTTTAAAGAGCGTAAGAGATTTATTTTCTGCAAAGCCAAACAACAATATTCATATATAATACCATAAGTAGTCGAAGTATTGTCGAATATTTTTGAGGTGCTGTCACGAATGCTAGTTACGCTGATTAATACCACGAGCGCTTGCGCGAGTGGTATTAAAAAGCGTAACTAGCATGAGTGGAACAGCAGCTCAAAAATAATCTACAAAATACTTCGACTACGAATGGTATTCGGAGGACTATTCAATGAATCAAAAGAAAAATTAAGCATAATTACCCACGCGAATGTATTTCCATGACAACAATAAACGTCAAAATAAATTATGGAAGTTGCTTTTCATTTTGCTATTGATTCTATTCGAACTTTTGTGCTCCAAGCTAATTCGTTATGAGGGATTAAATTAAAAGATGTGGTGATAAGTCGGTTGTCGAAATTGATTAACAAACTAAGAAGAATGTTCCGGTTAATACGACAAAATTTCGCGTCATTTCACTGGTGGAAGTTTGACAAATGTCATTGAATAATCGCATTGGGGATTTACGATAATTCAACCGGTTTAACCGGGTTGGTAGAAATCACCATAGAAACAATTGTCTCAATAATTGTAACCATAGCAAAATCTACCAACCCGGTTAAACCGGTTGAATTATCGTAAATCCCCATTGAATTGTCGCTGAAATACCACACGTGAAATTATCACTTATAATTGCACAAGAGGTTTGTATTTTACCGAGTAAATTTGGGTTGTTTAGGTAATGAAAATCTGTTGCCTAGCAATTAGACGAGAAAAACTATCAACTAATAAAAATGCGACACCGCAGGTGGAGCATTTTTAGGTTGACAGTTTTTCGAGTTCAATTGCTAAAAGGCAACAGATTTGAATTGCAACAACACAAATTTACGCGGTTTAAATACAAACCTCGAGTGTAATTCGGCAGGACAATTTAACGAACAAGAAATTCACATAACTAATCAATTACTGACAGACGTCAAACTAGTCATATGAGAGATAATGCGATAATTGGTTCGAAAATGAATAAGTGAAAAAACCACTAGTGCATTTGTCGCTGGAAAAGTTGCAGGTAACTTTTGCCGCTGTCAAAGTGACAATTGCACTGCGGCTTATGCGATTTTTTATACATGAGTTGAATTGTCGCTGAAATACCACACGTGCAATTATCACTTATAATTGCACAAGAGGTTTGTATTTTACCGAGTAAATTTGGGTTGTTAAGGTAATGAAAATTTGTTGCCTAGCAATTAGACGAGAAAAACTGTCAACTGAGCATTTTTAGGTTGACAGTTTTTCGAGTTCAATTGCTAAAAGGAAACAGATTTGAATTGCAGCAACCCAAATTTACTCGGTTTAAATGCAAACCTCGAGTGTAATTCGGCAGGACAATTTAACGAACAAGAAATTCACCAAACTAATCAATTATTGACAGACGTCAAACTAGTCATATGGGTAAGGATAATGCGATTATTGGTTCGAAAATGAATAAGTGAAAAAACGACTAGTGCATTTGTCGCTGGAAAAGTTGCAGGTAACTTTTGCCGCTGTCAAAGTGACAATTACACTGCGGCTTATGTGATTTTTTATACATGAGTTGAATTGTCACTATAATTCGTTCCCATTGGCGCAGCAATTTGAAATCGAGACATTTCACTGGTTGAAATGTGACAAATGTTAGATGAATTGAATAGTCAAATTAATTAATATAAAAGTCAGATCTTTATTTGTTTTAAGAAGTTATTTTTGATGGATAAAATTGGGCGTCCTTCAGAAGAGATTTTGTCATTTAGAAGTAGACATAAGGAAAAACAATACACTTAAATCCCTATGTCCACTTTTCAATAAATAGCACTTAAGTACTTACCTACTACTACCTTCTTTGCATTCCATTCCAAGTTTTTTAAATAAAATTTCTATTGTTTGCAACTTACTAAGAAAATTGTACTAATGAACAATCTATAGTTTCTTTCATTAAGTAAATTGGATTCATTTAAGCACTATCGCAGTACTTTAAATCAATGCACTTATCTATGATTTTTCGAAATTTCGAATTCAAAAGGGAAAAGGAGCAAGGAGTCAAGGAGGAAGGTGCATCCAGTCAAACTCTTTGTCAGATATAAATTATTTCATCAGGTGTTTTTTAAATCCATTTTTGAATTATTTTTATTCGCCCTAGAATTTGACCCAGATTCCGAAAATGAATTTTAAGTTTACTTTTTGACTCTTCAGTGCAAGAAATGCGCAAGAAAAAATTATGGTAGACGATTGCGAGCATTTTTTAAAGTCAACACCTGATTTTTAAATTTGTTCCATATTTTAGCCGCTCACTGTATATTGTAAACTTGCGGTTTTTGTGGACGCCAATTGTTTGAAAGTTTCAGACTCGCGCCTGGGATTCTTAACATATTAACGTATCGCAGTTTACATTATTTTTATTGTGCAGGGTGTATAAAATACAATTAATTTTCCTTTGGTACCTTTCCTTAATGGTGTTTCAGATTGAAAGACTCAATCTACCTATAAAGGATTTTTTGCCCTTTATTGTTGAGAATGTATTTTTTTGGGGAATTTTTAAGCTTTGTGTAAAGTGTCGGGTGGCCCTTTTATGATATTTAATATTTCAGCAGTTTTCTTAAACATCTCCATAGGGAATGTATTTTTTGCGAAATTTTGGAATTTAAGATTTTGCTGTAAAATGTATACAGGGTGCCCATTATGTATGGAATATAGTATATATCTCGGTAAACATCGAATGTATACAAAATTTTTCTATTATGAAAGTTGTTTAACATTTTATTTCCCATAATAAGGCAGCATTCAGTTGTTTTTATTTCAGAAAACAAATGCGTAATGAAAAACAATTGAATTTTTTAAATAGCAGTGCATCTTTTCATTGGGCTCATTTGATAATGTAAGGTAATATCTGTTCTTTGTATAATGTGTGCTTAATAAATATTATTTTTATACAATTTTTCAAAAAAAATTATAATTATTACAACAATAACATTAATCTAGATATCCGGCATGAAAATAAAACAAATGAACGTGTACGTTTCTTATTAAACCTTGAAGATAAAATGAATTTAACAATAAAATGGTACACATTCATTTGTTTTATTTTGATGTAGGATATCTAGATTAATGTTATTGATGTGACTCGTATTAGGGTGCTAACATTTTACATCATAGAAAAAAGAAAGAAAATCTCTATCTGAAAAGGTGCACTGCCTTTAAAAAAATTGAATTGTTTTTCGTTACTCATTTGTTTTCCGAAATAAAAAGAACTGAATGCTGCCTTATTATGGGAAATAAAATGTTAAACAACACTCATATAGAAAAATTTTGTATGCATTTGACATTTACTGAGATATATACTATATTCCATACATAATGGGCACCCTGTATATAACGTATTACCGATGTTAAATGACAGAAACCTTATACGAGCGCGAGATAGACATTTATATAATCTAATGTAGTAAATAAAAAGTTGATTGAGTCATATTTTGCAAGACCAATACGTATAAATACAAGTGTAAATAATGGGAAGAGAGCATTCTTAACATATTAACGTATCGCAGTTTACCTTAATTTTATTTTACAGGGTGTATAAAATACAATTAACTTTCCTTTGATACCTTTCTTTAATGGTGTTTCAGATTAAAAGACTCAATCTACCCATAAAGGATTTTTTACCCTTTATAGTTGAGGATGTATTTTTTGGGGAATTGTTAAGATTTGTGTAAAGTGTCGGGTGGCCATTTTATGGTATTTAATATTTCAGGAGTTTTCTTAAACATATCCATAGGGAATGTATTTCTTGTGAAATTTTGGAATTTAAGATTTTGCTATAAAATGTATACAGGGTGCCCATTAAGTATGAGATGTAGTATATATCTCGGTAAATATCGAATGTATACAAAAATTTTCTATTATGAAAGTTGTTTAACATTTTATTTCCCATAACAAAGCAGCATTCAGTTGTTTTTATTTCAGAAAACAAATGAGTAACGAAAAACAATTGAATTTTTTTAAATAACAGTGCTTCTTTTCATTGGGCTCATTTGATAATGTAATGTAATATCTGTTCTTTGTATAATGTGTGCTTAATAAATGTCATTACTATTATACAAGAAAATTTTTCAAAAAAAATTATTATAATTACAACAATAACATTAATCTAGATATCCGACATGCAAATAAAACAAATAAACCTGTACGTTTCTTATTAAACCTTGAAGATAAAATGAAATTAGCAATAAAATGGTAACAAAAGTACACATTCATTTGTTTTATTTTGATGTAGGATATCAGGTTAATGTGACTTGTTCTCGTATTAGGGTACTAACATGTTTAATCATAGAAAAAAGAAAAAAATCTATCAAAGGAGCTTAATGAAAAGGGCACTGTCATTTAAAAAAATTCAATTGTTTTTCGTTATTCATTTGTTTTCAGAAATCAAAACAACTGAAAATTTTGTATACATTCGATATTTACCGAAATATATAGGTAGCTGCTATATTCCATACATACTGGGCACCCTATATTTATTACGATTACTTTGAGCTAGCTTGGTAAAATTACGTTAACTTTTGTTCAGTTTGATCCTTGAATATTGACGTGATGTAAGTTGCGAAAAGCGAAGTACTCATCAGGACTTTGTAACTTATAGCCAGTTCTATACGCATCGATTGTAATAGATATTAGAACTTAGCTGATTCTGCAATTGTACTATCGATTTTTGGGATGCTCTCCAACATGTTGTCGGTCTTTTATTGGAATGGCGAAGGTTATCCATTCGTTTTAGAGTTATTACATCCATATTTTGTTGTAGAAGAGCCCTATAACTACATTAGGCTCTGGTTCTAGTCATTGTAATCATTTCCTTATACACTTATTCGGAGATGTTTTAAATTCTGTTCCTTTCAAACTCTTCAGTCTGTTTTATTCTACTGAATTCTTCTTACCCCGAGGGTTGATGGCTGTGAAATTAAGTGGTTGTTTCTAATTTCATATACGCGAAAATAATATCGTTGAAACGGTAGCTGCATAAATACATAAGCTCGTCTAGTATATGCTAATATATTTACATCCGTGGTAATATGCTTGAGGCATTACGAGACACTATATCTGAATGGTAATGTAAAAATCAAGCAAAAGCACAAATGAAAACACCATTATTAGTGTAGTAAGTTTTCATAGTGTCTGTGAGGAGGGTTTTCTCTTTACACACAAATTGGGATTCATGAAACATTAATGCGGTCTTCTAATTTCAGCTATGCTACAGTGGCCAGAAGTGTTACCGAATACCAGAAGCCTTAGTTAAAATGTACGGACCAAAGGTACAAAGCTTAGACCTAAGTTATAACGAACTGGTCTCGCTGCGTGGTATGGAAGGATTTCCTTTGCTGAGGGAATTAGTTTTGGATAATAATCAACTTACGGATTCCCTAGTTTTACCTTATCTACCGCACTTGCATACCTTATCATTAAATAAAAATTGCGTAAGTATTGATTCAATTTATATTGCGACAGGACAAGCGTTAATTTCAGATTAACGACATTGAACTTTTGATAACCAAGATTATTCACAATTTACCTACTTTAACATATTTAAGTCTATTGGGGAACAAAGCGTGCCCGAATCAGCTATCAGACATTGATAAGGATGAAGAGGATTATCAAAGGTATCGGTAAGTATGTTTAAGAGATTTAAAAATAACACCACTTTCAAGTTCATTTGCAGTAATTGGAAAAGTAAATTTGATTTTGTGAAGACCACTTATTATTCTTATATGGTCAATAAAATAATGCTCTTCTTATTTTACAGGTATTACGTTTTGCATCGGCTTCCGGCGTTACAATTTTTAGACTCTACAAAGGTGAAAGATTCCGAACGCCTAGAGGCAAAGCTCAGAGGCCAATACATGAAAATAATTCGTCCCAAACATGTTAATTTAAATATAGCGGGAGACGCCGTTTTGCAAACCTTAACGCCTCTCCCGCGAAGTGTACGTAAACCCGAGGACCATCGAGGTTTGTATTTCCCGCAGTTGCATTGCTCTAATTAAATTTATTTAAGGTGCTTACGAAAGGTGCAAATATCGATACTCTGGAAAGAACTCTGAAGGAAATCGGTTTATTTCGAACAATGATCTGTAATTTATATTGTAATGTAAGGTAGTATTTATAAAGAAGAAATGCGTGACAGTTGCTTATCAAAAAATTAGATGGCCCAAAAGTGTTATTAGAAAATCGTGTAAAGTCTAACGGTTAAAATTTTAGGATAATCTCCCTTCGAAGATGTCGGCTTGTTTTCAAAATAAGGAAGGTACGTTTGAATCGTTTTAGCTTTTCTCTGCTCTCCTTCATAAACCATTTTGTAATCTCCTGCGTCAACCTCTCCTTCTTCTGGCCACTTAACTTCGCTCACATCTAGTATGTCAATTTTGTATCTCACTATATTCTAGTTTTCCTTTTCTGTTCATTGGTCTTATATTCCAGTAACGTAGCCTCTTAGACATGAATTGTTTCCTACCTTCCTTCCTTTAACTCTCCTCTTACATGTGTCTCCTGGAATAGTGGTCACCCGGAGATCCAAATGTGAGCATTTTACTTAGGAACTGTCATAATAAAGAAGAGTGCTTTTCCAGCGTTGCCGAGGATATTCATATGACTTTTAATACGGAGTACGGTAGTCTTTTCTGGGATTTTCCATCTTTCCGTATTCTATGCTGTTGGTTCCTTCCTCAGAACTCATCTGCGTTTCGGGGAGGTTTCTCCCCAAGGGGAAGAGGGTGCCCTGACCTCCTACCCGCTCGTCTGCCCTACAAAAAGCCGTTGACACTTGGTAGAGGGGTGGCTTCTTCCACCCACCGGACGCTCGGTGTACTTAATGACAGATAGACATAGCAAGTACTGAAAATAACGGATTTCCCCGTTTATTTAGGGAACTTACTTTACCCTTAAAATTTCGAAAATATTTAAATTATTGTGTTTGGATTAAAACAAGTAAAAAGGTTTTGGTCCTAAGGCGAGATAACTTTAGCGCATTTTCCATACATTTATCAGTACTTGCCAAAGGATTATGGCTATGTCTTTCTTTACTAAAAGCATCTATGGTTAAAATTTCAAAAAAATATCTCAATAAATACGAAAATTTGGCATTGCGCAATCTACGCATTCGCACATCTTATTTTTTCAATATGCGATATGTTTGCCTTTACTAGAAGCATCTGTGATTAAAGTTTCAAAGAAATATCTGCCGAATTAAAAAAAAAGGAACAAAATATATTTAAAACTGTAAGAGTAGTTGAGGTCTCTGACGGACGGAGAGAGAAAATGGCTGCAATAACGCACCCAACTTCGATGGAAAACCCTAAAAATGAAGACACATTTTCAAAAATTTTCAAAAATGAATTTAAAAGCGTTGTTTACTTTCAGTCTTCATACAAGTAGGCGTAAAATAACAATCACGTCTTAAGATATAATCAGCTTCACAGATATGGTAGACTTTCAATTTTCATAAAAATCAGCCTACCTTGATTTTTATTACAATCATGAGTTCAGAAGTATTGGATGCTGATGAAAAAAATCAAAGTAGGCCGATTTATATATCAATTGAAAGTCTTCCATAACTTTTTAATTCTAAACAACTTCTTTTAATCCATTTTCGTTACATCTGCTAAAATAAAGGTAATTTTTAGAATTCGACAAAAAAACACCATGTATATTAATTAATTTGGCTCATTTTTGCAATACCTTACTTTGAGACTAAGCAGGAGCGATCCTCGGAACACGAAGATCCAACTGTAAAATCATTTGTCACATACACCAACTTTATATGCACTCAATCCGTGGACACACTGTATAAAAGAGGTCAAAACAACAATTTCCTTCAGATAAATTTGTTCGTTTTTACAAATAGATCAAGATCGTGGAAGCAGAATGCCATAGAAAGCTTCAGTAGCTTCAAAGATCCCCAAAGACCTAAAGAACAACATCCAATCTCTAAAAGTTGAAAAGGCGTCATAAAAGGCTTATGGAGACTCTTGGAGATATTTGAAAACTCTAAGAGTAATCGTAGAATAGGACGGTTTTTCACCTATAACTTTTCACATGCTGAGACGATCTTAACGTATATCGAAAATTCTTTTAGATTTTGACTTGTAGAAAACAAATCGCCCAGAAAACTGAAAATGGTACTAGTCTAGCAAAAATTATAGGGCTTTTTGTGGAGTTTTTTCATTATAATACGGTTTTTCACCTATAAATTTTCACGTGCCGAAACCATCTTAACGTATATCGAAAATTCTTTTAGATTTTGACTTGTAGAAAACAAATCGCCCAGAAAATTGAAAATCGTACTATTCTAGCAAAAATTATAGGGCCTTTTGTGGGTTTTTGCATTATAATACGGTTTTTCACCTATAACTTTACAAGTGCCAAAACGATCTTAACGTATATCGAAAATTCTTTTCGATTTTGACTTGTAGAATACAAATCACCCAGAAAATTGAAAATCGTACTATTCTAGCAAAAATTATAGTGCCTTTTGTGGGTTTTTTTCATTATAATAAGGTTTTTCACCTATAACTTTTCACGTGCCTAGACGATTTTAACTTATATGGAAAATTCTTTTAGATTTTGACTTGTAGAATACAAGTCACCCAGAAAATTGAAAATCTTACTATTCTAGCAAAAATTATAGGGCTTTTTGTGGGGTTTTTGCATTATAATACTGTTTTTTCACCTATAACTTTTCACGTGCCTAGACGATTTTAACTTATATGGAAAATTCTTTTAGATTTTGACTTGTAGAATACAAATCGCCCAGAAAATTGAAAATCGTAGAACTCTAGCAAAAATTATAGGGCTTTTTGTGGGTTTTTATCATTATAATACGGTTTTTCACCTATAACTTTTCACGTGCCTAGACGATTTTAAGTTATATGGAAAATTCTTTTAGATTTTGACTTGTAGAATACAAATCGCTCAGAAAATTGAAAATCGTACTACTCTAGCTAAAATTATAGGGTTTGTTGTGGGGTTTTTTCATTATAATACAGTTTTTCACCCATAACTTTGCACGTGCCTAGACGATCTTAACGTATATCGAAAATTCTTTTAGATTTTGACTTGTAGAATACAAATTGCCCAGAAAATCTAAAATCGTACTAGTCTAGCAAAAATTATAGGGCTTTTTGTGGGGTTTTTTTCATTATAATACGGTTATATATATATAGCCAATATTTTAGACATTAATTTCAATAACATATTTTACTTAATATGTAATCAAAATAACGCATCTTTAGTAAAAAATAATTATGTATGATTAAATATTAATCGTAAGAATTTAAATTACTTAAACTACTATTCAAAAAAAATCTAAATGGCAAAAAAAAACAGTACAAAGTTAAATGTTATGTCGATGTCGATGTCGATGTCTTGGTTAAAAATTGTCGTTTCAGAAGGTCTGCGATGAGTTTAGTTGATAAATAAAACAAATCTATTTCTGGAAACTCATTGCATGTAGCAGGGATCCTTGCTAACGGTTGACTCATAGTGTAGTTGTATCGATAGGTACCTTCTTTAAAAAGTTGTCTTGATCGGGTAGTTCTTTGTGGTATCGTGAATTGGAGAGCACTGAGATGCTTAGGACAATCCAGAGTTCCTTTTAGTAGTTTAGCTGCGATTAGAACATCAGCTATATTCCGGCGGTCTTCAAGCGGTATAATATTATATTTTGCCATGATGACGTTCTTGGAATTCAAATTGCCAGATTTGAATTTTATATAATTCAGGAATTTGGATTGAACTCGTTCAATGCTATGAATTAAATATTTGAAGTTAGGTGACCATATTGGACAAGCATATTCCAGAGTACTCCTACAGTAGACGTTAAATAGAGTCACTAAAACAGAGACATTACGAAAGGATGCACAATTTCTTTTAATAAAGCCCAGCACTTTGAAAGCTTTATTAATCTTTTCGTATATGTGTTGGCTAAAAGTCAATTTTTCATCAAAGAGTACACCCAAGTCCGTTATGTCGTGAACTCTTTGAAGCGGAGTATTATTAATAGAGTATTTAAATTCGCGAACTGTTTTTTTCCTCGATACAGTAAATAATTTACATTTACTAGCATTCAGAGACATGCAATTAGTTAGGCACCATTTGCTCAATTCATCCAAATCCCTTTGAAGTGAAAAGTTGTCCTCTGTGGATGAGATAACGCGAAATAATTTCAAGTCATCTGCAAAAAGCAGGCAAGAAGTGTTCTTCAGGGAATCTGGTATATCGTTAACATATATACTGAATAAGAGAGGTCCAGGTAAGATGACTACCTTGGGGCACTCCTGATAAGGCTTCTATCAAGTCTGACCTTTCTTCGGCTACTTTTACTGTCAACTTCCTCTCAGATAAATATGAAGTGATCCATTTTAGCATAACTCCGTGAAATCCAAAAAGCTCGAGTTGCTTTGTCAAAATTATATGGTCAACTGTGTCAAACGCTTTGGCGAAATCTGTATATATGATGTCCAGATGTGCATTTTTTCTGAATAGCTTCATATGCTGCCTGTTATAGTAGTAGAAGGTTAGTGGTAAAAGATCGTCCATTTCGGAATCCATGTTGTTCGTCGCAAAGGTAATAATTGATAGAGTTTTTGAGTTTCTCATAAACAATTGATTCAAAAATTGTATTAATTAAATATTAATTGTAGATATTATAGCAACAGGTCGATAATTAGCTATGTCTGATTTACTTCCTTTCTTGTAAATTGGAATAAGTGTGCTTGTTTTCCAACGCTCTGGAAAACAACCTTCCTTCAAAGACTCATTAAATAATATATGAAGAGGCATTAAATGATTAGAGGCACACTTCGTAAAGAATATTGCAGGTATTTCATCAATTCCGGGGTTTGATTTCTTTAAGTTCAGTAATTTCTTAATAATATCTGATTGATGTATATACAAGGAATTTATGTTAAGATTATTATTCTTTGAGAGTTCCGATGAAACCACAGGATGGCGGTGATTGGCGGTATAAACAGATGCAAAAAATGATGCAAATGCATTGGAAATATTTTGGTCATCGGCAACAATAGTGTTATTGTAGGTCATTTCATTAGGTAACGATCGATCAGTACATCTGGATTTAAAGTATGACCAAAATGATTTGGGATTTCTTGCAAAATTATCGTCCAATCTTAATATATGATTATCATGAGATATCTTCTTTAGCTGATTGCATTTGGTTCTTGCACTGTTAAAAATTTGGTAGTCTTGCCACGCTAATGTTTGTTTGTATACTTTGTGGAGACGTTTTTTCAGTTTTATTGTTTGGATTAACTCTTTTGAAACCCAGGGGGGAAATTTGCGACAAATTTTTTTCCTGACAGGGTTGTTCGCCTATAACTTTTTACGTGCCGAAACAATCTTTAGTAATTATATAACGTTAACCATATTCACAGCACCTTTCCATTTTTTTTATTTTTGTAGCCAGCTCTTAGACTACTAATCTTTACTGAACCGCCTATACAAAAATTGGTTAATTCAACACGACCCACATTAAAAATTGAGATGGTATATACCATCTTCGCCAATGTACAGTACAGAACGATAAAAAATAGTGAACTTTATAAGGTATCTTTTTCATAACTTGTAAGTATAAATAACTAAACAAAACATTAGTTAAGAAGAACATAAATTAACTTAGAGCTAAATAAACGTTTTGTAAGAGTAAGTATATACACGTCTTATAATAATTGTACTGTTAAGATCATTATTATTACAATAATCGACTTCAATGTTAGTTAGACCGGTACAAAATTATCAGTAGCAGACAATAAAATAAATATTGAACTATAAAGTAATGACTATCATCCTATGTAGGGTTCACTAAGGATTAGCGTTCACTGACTCATAGTAATCTTTGTTCGTAAATATCCGATCCGGGATAGTAATTATCGCCGCGTATGTTATAGGCGAGTACTTTGGAAATTAAATTCAAGTCTTCCTGCTGCTTTCCTCTGCCTATGCCCGAATAGTAAAGTAGATTGTTGAGCTGATGATTGACGTAAGGTGCCCGAACGTAGCGGCTGCTGTGATAATCCTGAAATACGCTGGGTGTTATGCTGTAGCTGTTCTGATTCGAACGGAAAAATCTGTTCTGCTGTGGCGATTGTTGGTTGAACGTATTTGTGTAGTGGCGAATGCTCGAATCGGAATTGACGAAGTTTCCGGTACCGGTCTCCTGTCTAAATACCCTGTTTCCACGCGGTGGGTTCTGCCCAAAGCTCTTGGTGCTTTCGACCGAAGGTGTGTACGTAAATGGTACGTGGAAGTCTCTAGGACCCTGTGTGGGAAGCTGTTGATATCGATTAAAAGAGGTGTCTTGGAAATTTTGGTGGTTCTTCGTTGGAAGTTGGAGGGAGTTGTCCACGTAACTTGCCGGTTGGAAGGTTACCGCGGGCTGAACTGTGATTGTAGGTTTTTCAAATCGATTGTAGCTTAGGAACCTTTGCCTTTCTTGTTCCTGTACGAGATTTTGTTGCCGCAAATAGTAATCATCTGGCTGTTTATTATAGTTAACACTTGGGTTGGTTTGTGTCAAAAGAGCCTGGCGTTGCTGCTCCAGGTGTTGCTGATGCCTTCGGTCATATTCTTCTTGTTGAGTAACCGAAGACAAAAATGCCTTGCGCCGTTCTTGCTCTTGAATTAACTGCCTTTGCTTAAGCAAATACTCCTCGTGTTGTTGCTTTTGTTTTTGTAGCGCTTTAATTTGTTCTTGTAGAGATTTCTGCTTGACCTCTAACTCTTGTTGTACCCTGATCTGCTCTAAGCTTCTCAAGTATTGCTGTAGCTTGACCTCGTCTTCTTTTCGTTTCTCCTCGGCTTCCTTCCTTTGTATCTCTTCGAGTTCCTTCAGGCGCTTTTCCTCTAATTCCTTCTCTGTGATGGTAGTTAACGATTCATCTTTCAAAATCGGCTCCACACTCTTTGGCACGCCGAGCGCGTCCTGATGCACGGTGAAGGCTGCCACTAACGGAGCGGAAAAGAACTGAAGACTTTCCACTTTAGCTTCGTTCTCTTCGGTACTTGTCGTAATTACGGGTGTCGTGGTCGTAGGTCTGGCCGTGGTGGCATTTCGAACTTTAACTAAAATCGGGCGACGTGTACCAGTGTTGGTTTCATGTTGGATGATTGGTTTATATTGCACTCCGCTGCTTGTCTCGATGCTAACCGATTTTTCGGTTCGTGTAATCGTGCTAGGTGTTGGGTTGTAAACTTTTTGAACTTCACCACTTGCATCCGTTCCACTTAAGGTATTGCCAAAATCGTCACTTGTTTCCAAATCACTGAGCGCCTCCAGAAGTGCCTGGCGTAGATCCTTCCCAGTGGAAGCGGCTTTGTTTACAAATATATCGTCTTGGGTTTCAGCCAAAATCCACGAGACGTGGGTTACCATCAAGTAAGCGAAGAGCCGTATCTGAAAAGAATAAAATATTTATAGGGCACTCATTTAATTATCCTAAACAACTATTGCTTAATCTACTAGAGGCGTTTTTTGACCAGCCCCAATGTATATCAAAAGTTTACCAAGAAGAGAAACCGTGAGAGCAAGAAATCTTCTTAAAGAAAAGCTTCAATTTAATATTGATTGCTGATGTTTGCTGATGATAAAGCTTTCGAATCGTTAAAGTGGTTGTTTACGTCGGTGTAAATGCGCGCGTTTTCTTTTTTTGACATTTTTTCGTTTTGTCTGCTGTTACACATAAAATTATTATGTACTTTCTTAAAATTTAACGTCAAGGCCAATTCGTAGTCGAACCACATTTTTCTTACTAGGTCATTTGAATTATTGAGTCATGTTAAGTATTAAATAATTGCAGTTCTCAGTATACGATTAGCCTCAGTGTCAGACGTTACATTGTTATACGCGATATTTTGTACAGCGCGATCATTACTTCTCTTGTTGTTTGCTGTGTTTTTGTCTGTTTACAGATTTGCAGTATACGCGCCCTTCTGGAGCTCAAAAATCCCGTTGCTCCCTGCAGTTCAAAAGGTAAGTTTAGTTATTTTCGTCGATTTTCCCTACTTTTCGATACCATCGAATTATAATTGTTACATTCGCTTGAAATTAACTTAACTCCGTTGTTTTTACGGAGATCTATTTAGATCAATATTTTCTCCGACTACGTGTTGATCGCCATTTTTTTTTCTTTTTTCGAAAAGTAGTTTAAATTCAAATTTTGACATAGCAGATCTTTATATTACAGTATCACCATCGATTGTGACATCAACTATTGTTTATGTTCTATCCCTATTATGTGTTTTATTCCCTTTTAGCTCCTCAGACCAAAACAAGGATTCTATTTTAGTTTAGAAGGTATAACTTTTAAATAAACAATTATTTCCTACCAAATAGTATAAAAATATACAGGGCGTACCGTTTAAAAAAACTCTCTCCGAAAATTAAAATATTTTTTTTTCAGATTTACATTAATTTATGTAGCTTACTAGAAACACTAAAAATTTTATTTGAAAGATTTTTTTGTATCCCTGATAACTTCGGAGAAAAATCGCGTTGCCTAGTTCCGTTTACACCCTGTATATAAATAGAAAGTATATAAAAGTAAATACGACAAATAATAAATTAAAAAAGAACCATGTAATATCACAGACTACTTACTATTACAGCTTGTTACAAAAGTACGTTCTTTAGGCGTACCTCGCAGATTGCAGAGGTACTCTCTTCGAATGTACAAGGTGTCCCATTAATAATGGTCACTGGCTATATCTATGGAACCGTTAAGTGCACAGCTTCGAGAAAAAATTTTGTTAACAAAAGGGGCCAAGAGAAATCGCTGGAAATTATTTTCAAGTTTCTAGCTTCGCCGCTAGAGGGTGTACGATTCATGGTTAAGTAGAAAAATGACTTTTTCCTAAAATATACCCAACAAACATGCATAAAAAATACATGCATAGCAATCTTGTATCAATTTTGCCTCATTTTGATGCAGCACATATTGCTCTAGTTCATAAAATATGAGGGGTGGGGGAAGAGGAACATCTCTTTAAGGAATTGAATGTAACTTCGGATTAGGTTAACAGATTTTCACCTAATAGGTCTTGTAGGAATGAGCTCTCTGCGTGGAATCAGATTTTACATGAATCGAATCTTTTTAGTAAATGTGATGAGTAGTAGAGGGCGCGATGTGACATTAACATAAACTTTGCAGTTTTTTTTAAATTTCAAATGGAACGATATAATTATTATGTGATATATATTTTTTTTTCTTGTGGGCATCAATTTCATTGGTTATTTAGCCCTGTTTCTACAAAGACATTCCTTCCCTACCATGTTGCGACATTATCAAATAAGATGAAAAAGTGAGATCCGCATTTTGATATCTGTTTTCTAAGCAGAGATATGGAGAAAATACGAGCATTCACAAATTTTAATTGCAATGCAATATTTTAGAAAAAAAGCCATTTTTCTACTTAACCATGAATCGTACGCCCTCTAGCGGCGAAGTTAGAAACTTGAAATAATTTCCAGCGTAAACAAAAATTTTTTCCCTAAGCTGTGCAATTAACGGTTCCATAGATATGACATGTGACCATTATTAATGGAACACCCTGTACTTTCCGGTTTTCCTTTGCTATTATAGTTAGACCCAGAGGCACGCTCTTTAGACGTACCTCTCGGTTTTCCTTTAGGCCATCCAGGCTTTTTCTTTTTCTTGGTTGCTTCTACAACGGCCATATCAACCGATTCCAGAATAGAAGAGCGCGTCTCTAAGTCTCTTCCTGACATGATGTTCTGGATCTGGTCTGCCCTCTTTTTCTTTTTTCACTACAACTCTCGTCTTCCATTCACTCAAACGCAGAAGGCAACTGAAGCAAAATATGATCAGTTTTCTCTCGCCATATCGTATCTTGTAAATGACCGTAATTTCTTGTAATTTTTGCCTCTTTATAGATCGGACAGGATTGTGATGTCGCACAATGGGCTCTAAGACAATTTGGGTATTCAATAGGGGTGCCACAAGCCGTTCCTTACTGAATTTCTTTTCCACAAATACACCTTTGTGGATTTACATGTGCTGGAAGCATGACCAAATTGCTGACAATTAAAACAACGTAACGGATTCGAACTCGGAAGTAAACGAAAAAATAACGAAAAAGTCAAAATCCGATGAGCCATTCGGTTTCATAATTTATAAATGCTCCGAATTTTGACGTAGTAAATGCATGTTTGGTTCCGGTGGGTATACTATCAGTTAATTTCAAAACAAAATAATAAAATCGTTTTATAAAGAGTAATCATTTTTTTTTCGCAGGTCTTATTGTCGATCAATACCCGTGACCGTTCAATCAAATGAATTTGATTTGTTGTTCTTGATTTTATTACTCTTTTAAACCAAACGGAAGTTGGTGACAACTTGGTAATCATATAACTGGTACCAGTATGGAATTGTAGGTAGCTATGAATTAAGTTTTTTTATATCTGTTGTATTGATTTATTATAAGTAAGGAAGCGGATAGTAAAAAGTGGGTAGATGGATATAAAGAATGAAAGTTATGCAACGAGCTCTTTTTCGTAAATACTTCGTAGCTATTTGAGTTGAAATTATAATTAGGGCATCAACCTTGACACTTTGACAATGCCATTAAGATTCATCTGATGTGTAGATTTATTTACTTGCTCCGAGCACTTTTACAAGAATCAATTTCACTAACATTGGATTACGAAATATCTCGAAATGGTAGAAAGTTTTGTAAAGATAATACATTCAGATTTTAATTGCAGGCTGGTGTAAAAAGGTGAAAAGTATCAACGGTGTTGACTAATTATATAAGTAGGTAGGTAGGTATACGCGGATTTGAAATAGGTACGCAAACAAAAAGGGTCAAACGTGTTTGCTTAAAAAGTGAAAATGATTCATTGTGCGTGATACCTACACTACACGTGTAGGTAAACTGTAAACTAGGAATGCAGTCGGTGAAGATTCCTCGTTTTGATGAGAATTTTCACCTAGAACTTTCTCAATGCAAGTGCATTATAAATTATTCATTAAATTACACCTGACTATTGGTAACCTACATTACAGTGTAGTGGCCAATGCTGAAAATCAATCGACGTTTTAAATTATTTGTGAAATGGGGACTACTTACTATTGTTTCACTAGCGAAAAATGCATGTTACAACAGTGTAGATTTCAATCGGTTCAAGAAAAGTAGCAATATCCCCTTGATCCGGAAATTACAAATATTCATATCCTGTCAGGTACAGATTCTCTAATCTGGGCGACAATGTATCTTCGCTTTTGTACCACGTAAGATCCGGAGACTCTGGCCACTTCCCTTGTCCTAGTCCACTCTTCTTCATTGTACAACAGTACACCTCATATTCACTGTTTTTTTCAAAACACAGGATGGAAAGTATCGTCGTATTTTAATACTGCAAATTTTCCTTTTTGTAACTAACAGGTTTACTTTGGATATAATTTTCAGTATTTTTATCATTTTCTTTTTCAGATGCTTCGCTTTCCTTGGTGAATTTTTTTCAGAAATTTCGTGCATTACCTATTTCACACCGAAAGGAGTCCGGTATAATATGCCGCTACTCTACCAAGTGCCAACGGCTTTTTGTAGGGCGAATGAGGGGGTAAGAATTCAGGGCACCCTCTCTCTCTTGAGGAGAAAGACTTCCTCTAAAGATGGATGATTTCCATGGAAGGATTCGGAAAGATGGGCAATCCCAGAGGAGACTACCGTATTAGAAGTACCTATTAGGTACCTGGAATTTAAGGACAATGAGCAGAAAGGGAGTCCTAGTTTGGCGTAGGAGATTACAAAATGATTTACAAAGAAGAGCACAGAATGGATATCAGAAGAAATTCTGGACAAATACTTTTTCTTATAAATTTTGGTGCGCAGAATCCAAAACGATTCGTACTTTTTCGATTAGACCTCTCTCAATCAAAAGTTATGGGCAAAAAACCAATTTCGAAAAAATATTCAATGGGCTGAACTTTTGATCTAGTCGCCCAATTTTCAAACTATTTGAAATTATGGATTCTACAGATCAAAATCTTTAAGAAAATGTTTTTCCCCATTCGATTTCAGAAAATTCATTTTTCCGACCCAAAATATTTTATTAACGAGTATAATGGGAAAGTTACCACCAAATGAAGCAGGAGGCTCAGAGTAGAGGAAAGTGGAGAACCAACTGCTAACTGTCTTAGTACAGTTCCACCTATACAGGGTGAGTTTTTTTTTTCATTTTAAGCATTGGGATCTCGGAAACCATAAGACATCAAGATTCGGTTAAATAAAGAAAGAGTTGTCGTTTTAAGAGCTTATTTAAGATATGCTTTTTGTTTTTTGAAAAAATCCACAGTTTACTAAATAAATGAGCGAAAAACATATTGAGTGATTTTTCTTTTAAGTGTTGTAAAATCGTTATTATTAGAAATAGAA